TCTCCTCTCTTCATCTTTCTCTCTTCTCTTTCTCTTTCCCTTTCTCTTTCTCCTCTTTCTCTCTTCCTCTCTCCTCTTTCTCTCATCTCTCTTCTCTCTTTTCTTTCTCTTTCTTCTTTCTCCTTCTTTCTTCTCTTTCTCTCCCTTCTCTTCTTCCCTTCCTTTCTCTTCCCTTTTTCTTTCTCCTTCCCATTCTCTTCTCCTTCTTTCTCTCCCTCTCTCCCTTATTACTCCGTCTCCCCGTTCTTTCTCTTTTACTCTTTCTTCCCTTCTCCATCTCCCTCTATTTCCTTCTCTCGTCTTCCTCCTCTCTCTCTCTCTCTCTCTCTCTCTCTCTCTCTCTCTCTCTCTCTCTCTCTCTCTCTCTCTCTCTCTCTCTCTCTCTCTCTCTCTCTCTCTCTCTCTCTCTCTCTCTCTCTCTCTCTCTCTCTCTCTCTCTCTCTCCTCTCTCTCTCTCTCTCTCTCTCTCTCTCTCTCTCTCTCTCTCTTTCTCTCTCTCCTCTCTCTCTCTCTCTCTCTCTCTCTCTCTCTCTCTCTCCTCTCTCTCTCTCTCTCTCTCTCTCTCTCTTCTCTCTCTCTCTCTCTCTCTCTCTCTTCTCTCTCTCTCTCTCTCTCTCTCTCTCTCTCTCTCCTCTCTCTCTCTCTCTCTCTCTTCTCTCTCCCTAAAACCTCCCCAAACCCCCCACGCCACCACACAACAAGTCACCGATCTCACAACCAACAACTTTCACAACCTCAATAAACCTTGTCTCTCTTCTCTTCCCCCCCTCCCCCTTCTCCTTCCCTCCTCCCCTTCCATCCTCCTCTCCCCCTCCCTCCCCCCTCCCTCCTCTCTCCCTCCGTCCTCTCCCTCTCTCCTTCCCACCCCTCCCCCTTCTCCTCCTCCTCCCTTCCCCTCCCTATTCCACCTTCCTCCTCCCTAACGCCCTTTCTCTCTCCTCCCTTCCCCCTCCCCCTCCCTACCATCCCCCTTTTCCCCTCTCCCCTCCACCTCCCCCCCCTACCCCCTACCCATCCCACCCACTCCTTCCACCCACCCCCCACTCCCTCCCCATCCCTCCCCAATCCTCCCCCTCCCCCTACCCATCCCCTACCCCCTCCCACCCTCCCACCCCACCCATCCCGCCATCCCACACCTCCCCCTATCCCACCCCCACCCTCCCCCTCCACTCCCATCCCACCCACCCTCCCCCCCCCCCCATCCGCCCCAAACCCCCCCCCCCAAAAAAAAAAAAAAAAAAAAAAAAAAAAAACAACCCCCCTCCAGAAAACTCCGAAACAACCGCACGAGGATCCACAAGAACCTGTTCGCCGCCATGATCCTGCAGGTGCTGGTTCGCCTCATCCTGTACGCTGACCAGGCCATCGTCAGAGGGGACTCGACCGGCTTGGGCTCGGGGCTGTCGACGGAGAGGCAGGGGATCGACAGCACGGTAAGAAAGAAGAACAAAAAAAAAAATTTTTTTTTTTTTTTTTTTTTTTTTTTTTTTGGGGGTGTTGGGTGTTGTTGGGGATCGATTAAGAAAAGAAGAAAAGAAAATGTGATGGGGTTTGATAAGGGAGGGGGTTGTTTTTTGTTGTTGGGATCAATTGAAAATAAAAATGAAAATGTGATGTTTTTTTGGGGGGTGTTGTTGTTTTGTTGTTCGGGATCGACAGCACGGTAAGGAAAATGAAAAAAATGAGATGGAGTTGGGGGGGGGGTTGTTGTTGGGATCGATTGAAAAAAAAAAATGTGATGGGGTTGTGGATGTGTGTTGTTGTTTGTTGTGGGGCGTCGATTTGTGTTTTTTTGTTAGGAACGACGGTGTGTTGTAAATTTCTTCTTTTTTTTTTTTACTTTCTATGTATTTTCAGATTTGTTTTATCATCATTATTTTGTATCTTTTTATTTATTAATTAATTGATTTACTCTATTATTATCATTATTATCATTTATGTGTGTGTGTGTGTGTGCGTACGTGTGTGTACTTCTGTATGTATGTTGTGTGTGTGTGTGTATGTGCGTTTTGTGTGACGACAGAACTGAGAGCCAAGTCAACTCAACGTAAATCCCATGTTGTTGTTTACAGTCAAAGCACGTGACGGTTTGTTTACATACGTTGCCAAACAGTTTGTTTACATCAGGGAGACCAATATTTTTGTTTCTTTACTGTTTCTTTTGATATCTTGGCGAGTTTTCACGTGTCGTTGGTCAAGAAGAACCAAGATTAAATAAAAGAATTTGTGTTATTTTGTAATAGGGTTTTCGTTGTGTTTGTGATCAACGATAAGTAGTATTGGAGGAATGTATGATTTTTTTTTTGGCTTATCGTGTCTATATAATTTTCGCTGCAATGGTGAATGAATGAATAAAAAGAAAGAAAGAAAAAGAAAAAAAAGGGGGAAAAAATAGACCTATCGTGTCTATATAACGTTTGCTGCAATGGTGAATGAATGAATGAAACAACAAAAAAAAAAAAGAAAAAAAGGGAAAAATAGGCAGATGTTTTAGTATCTGTGACCCCCCCCCACACACACACATTTTTTTTTTTTTTTTTTTTTTTTTTTTTTTTTTTTTTTTTTTTTTTTTAAGGCGGGGTACACTTTAAAGCGAAAGGAAACTTTCAGAGGAATTGAAAATCTCTGGTACAGATGCAAATTCTTGGTCGATCTCGTAAAGGGTTACCAGCAGGAGTACTGCTCCTTCATGCAATAGTTTTACAAATGTTTCCCTCTCAAGTGCAATAGTTTTATCAGAATTTAAACCCATAAATCGGACGAAAGAAAACTGTAATACTCTCAAGGATATTTGTATGGATATTAATATATATACTATATATTATATATATATATATATATATATATATATATATATATATATATATATATATATATTTCAAAAATACCCCGTTCTACGGTCTCTATTCTTTCTATATTCATTAAGGCCTCAATTCTTTACATTTCTCTCTCATTTTTTTTTTAAATTTAGTGTTGAATTGATAAAGTGAACCCACTGCAAGCCAACCTTCTTTTTATGCAAATACACATCACAGCCCGAGTGTGATGTGCCTCAACAGAATAAAAAAAATACAGACACTATACTTAGTAGTCGAGGCAAATGCTAGCTCGGCATTATTCCTACGAAATTCTGCAACATATATTCTTGCAAAGAAAGATGCCATGTTAAAGTTGGCATTTGCAACGTGCGTTTAAAAATTTCTGTATCTGTTTTATGAATTTTTCAGTTGTTAGATTCATTTATTCATTGTGTTTATTCATCTATTTTTTTAATTATTCATTTGTTTTCATATATAAAATTTATCTTGTTTGTTCTTTTTTTCATTTTTCTTTTATCCGTCTATTTATCTTATTTAGCTAAATATGTGAGTGCCTGTGTAAACAACTTTATGTACTTAAAGTTTCTATTTGTCTTTGTACTTATTTATATCATTTTAAAGTTACCTTTTTATAGCTAATTAATTTACAAAGACTAGTTAATTTACTCAGATTAACAATAATCATATGACATATCTTCAATATATATTCCAGGTGTCTCTAGATTTTCCAAAAAAAGAAAATAAAACCATTTCATAAACATATATTTTATTCATGGATGTCTAAATATATATTCTAAACTTAGATGTATATATGTATATTTTAATCTTGAATGTCTGAATATATATCTTAATCTTGAATATATAGATATTCATATTTCATTTTTTAAAGTACATATTTCTGTGAGCCTTTATGTCTCTCTGTCTTCCTTCCTCTCTATCTATCTATCTCCCTCTCCCTCTTTCTCTCTCTTTCTTTCCCTTCCTCTTCTTCTCCATTCTCTCTCTCTCTCTCTCTCTCTCTCTCTCTCTCTCTCTCTCTCTCTCTCGTCTCTCTCTTCTCTCTCTCTCTCTCTTCTCTCTCTCTCCTCTCCCTCCCTTCCTCCCTCCCTCCCCTCCCATCCCTCTCCTCCCTCCCTCCCTCCTCCCCCCTCTCTCCCTCCCTCCCTTCCTCCCTCTCCCACCCTCCCTCCCTCACCTCCTCCTCCCTTCCCACCCCCACCGCTCCTCCTTCCTCCCTCCTCCCCCCCACACCCCTCCACCCTCCCCCTCACATCACCACTCTCCTCCCACCTCACCCTCCACCTCCACCCACCGTCCCTCTCCCTCCCCCCCCCTTCACCACAAATCCACAATTCGCAACAAACCTAATATTTATTCCCCTCTCTCTCTCCATTTCCTCAGCCGATTTTGTGCGAATCTTTCTACATCTTCCTGGAGTACGGTCGTTCAGCGATGTTCATGTGGATGTTCATCGAGGGGATGTACCTGAACAACCTCATCAGCGTCGCCTTCTTTCAAGGACCACCCAACTACAGCGCGTATTACTTCATCGGTTGGGGTAAGTCTCTGTGATAGATTAGTGATAGATAATTGGGTGATAGAATAATGGTGAGATGATGTAGATTTGATAGATTGGGTAAGTCTCTGCTAATTGTATAGATAGGTGATAGATAATTGGGTAAGTCTCTGCTGATTGTGTGATAGATAGTGATAGATAATGGTGATGATGGTGATTATATTGGGTGAGTCTCCGCTAATTGTGATAGATAGTGATAGATTAATTGGGTAAGTCTCTGCTGGTTGTGATAGATATGTGATAGATAATGAGTGATTATAGCCAATAATTGGTGATGATAGGTGATTATAATTGGTAAGTCTCTGCTGATTGTGATAGATAATTAGATAATGGTGATGATGGTGATTATATTGGGTGTCTCTAATTGTGATAGATAGTGATAGATTGAGTCTCGCTAATTGTGATAGATAATGGTGATGATGGTGATTATATTGGGTAAGTCTCTGCCGATTGTGATAGATAGTGATAGATAATGGTGATTATATTGGGTAAGTCTCTGCTGATTGTGATAGATAGTGATAGATAATGGTGATGATGGTGATTATATTGGGTAAGTCTCTGCTGATTGTGATAGATAGTGATAGATAATGGTGATGATGATGGTAATTATATTGATGGTAGATTTATATTGGGTAAGTCTCTGCTGATTGTGGAAGGAAATAGTGGTAGATAATGGTGATGAAAAATAGGTGATTTAATATATTGGTGAGTCTCCGGCTGATTAATGATAGAATGTATAGATAATTGGGTATCTCGCTGAATTGTGATAGATAGTGGTAGAATAATGGTGATATGGTGATTATATTGGGTAAGTCGTCCGGCGCTGATTGTGATAGAAAATTGATGATAAGTGATAAGATAAGGTGAATGGATGGTGGATTATATCGGGTAAGCTCTCCCTTGGCTGATTGTGATAAGATGGGATTAGATATGGTGATAATAATTGGGTAAGTTCCCTGCTGATTGTGAAAAGATTATGTGGTAGAAAATGGTGATGATGGTGATTATATTGGGTGTTATCTCCGCTGATTATGAATAGATAGTGATAGATAATTGGCGGTAAGTCTCTCGCTGATTGTGATAGATAGTGGTAGAAATGGTTGATGAATGTGATAATATTGGGTGAAGGTCTCCGCGATTAGATAGATATGATAGATAATGGGGTAAGTCTATGCTGATTTGTGATAAGACTAAGTGAGTGAATAAGATAATGGGATAGATGGTGGTGATTTAATTGGGATAAGTCTTGCTGATGTGTGATAAAGATAAAGTGATAGAATAATGGTGATTGAGATGGTGATTAATATGGGTAAGTCTCTGCCGTTGTGATAGATAGGTGATAGAATCAATAGGGGTGAATGATGGGATTATATTGCGAGTAAGGCTCTGCTAAATGTGATAGATAGGTGAAAAGATAAATGGTGATGATGGTGATATATTTGGGTTAAGTCTCTCTTGGCGATTGGTGATAGATAGATAGTGAAGTAATGGTGATGATGCTGATTATTAATTGGGGTAAAGTTCTGCTGATGTGATAGATAGTGATAGATTGATATTTGGTGATGATGGGATTATATTGGTAAGTCTGCTGATTGTGATAAGATAGTGATAGAGGTGAATTGGGTAAGTCTCTGCTGATTGTGATAGATAGTGATAGAAATGGTGATGATGGTGATTATAAGTGGTGTCTCTGCTGGGTAATTGTGATAGATAGTGATAGATAATGGTTGATATGATGGTGATTATATTGGGGTAAGTCTCTGATTATGAAGATAGTGATAATAATTGGGTAAGTCTCGCTGATTGTGATAGAATAGTGATAGATAATGGTGATGAAGGAAATATATTGGGTTGTCCTTCTGCTAATTGTGATAGATAGTGATAGATAATTGGGTAAGTCTCTGCTGATTGTGATAGATAGTGATAGATAATGGATAGTGATTATTATTGGGCTAAGTTCTCTAATTGTGATAGATAGGAAGATAAATGGGATGAGGTGATTATTGGGTGTCTCTGCGATTAGTGAAGAATAGTGATAGATAGGTGATAGATGGTGAATAATTGGGTGAGTCTCTTCGTCCAATTTGATAGATAGTGAAGATAAAGGGTGAGAAATGTGATTATTTGGGTAAGTCTCCACCGCTGATTGATAGAAGTGAATAGATAATGGGTGGATGAAATTGTGTATATAATGGGTAAGTCTCTGCCTGATTGGTGATAGAGATAGTGAAGATTTGATAGATAATGGTGATGATCGATGGTGATAATTGGGGTGGTACTCTGCCGATTGTGATGATTAGTCGAATAGATGAGAGATAGATAATGGTGAGATGGTGGATATATATGGGTAAAGTCCATCCGCTATTGTTGAATTGTGATAGATATGATTTGATAGATAATAGCGATGATGGTGATATATTGGGTGAAAGGTTCTAGGCTTGTTAATTGTGATAAGATAGAGGGTAACGATGGTGGATTAATGGTTCTCGCATTGTGAAGATAGTGATAAGATAATGGTGATATATGGTATTAAATTGGAGTTCAAAGTCGTGCTATGTGATAGCATTAGTGATAGATAGGGATGAGTGATTATATTGGGAAGTCCTTACCCGGCAATTGTAGAAGAGAGATAATGTGATGATGGTGATTATTGGTAAGTCCGCGATGTGATAGACTTAGTGATTAGATATGACTGAATGGTGATGAAGTGATTATATTATGTAAGGTCGAGTTCATGGTGTTGGATTCATTTGTATTTAATTATCATTGTTATTCCATTATTATGATTATTGTTTTTTTTGGTGTATTTGCCATTTTATATTACCATTATCATCATGTTATTAGTATTAATTGTAATTTCGACGTCATCATACTGTTATACATGTTTATTGTTTACGCTGTCATCATCACATACATCATGTCCATGAACATAATCACGGCTATTGTCATAAATTTTTCAGTTGTATATTATCATAGTCCTATTATTATAATCATTATAATTTAGATAATTAAATTCATCATTATTACATCATTATATTATATGGTTATTATTATATCATATTAATGATTACATGATTATTATATCATCATTCACATCAATTAATA